CAGTGGGTGACGAAGTACCACTCGGAGCCCTCCTGTAGCTTGCCAGTGATGGACCCAAATTGACCACATATCCATAAGTTACAGATGGCGTGGTTCCATCCTGGATTGCTGCTCGTACTGGAGTATCTGCGTCGACTCTGATCATGCCTTGGTAGGCTGTCGTTTCTCCATGAATTTACCGGGAGGCGCACCAAGCGTCCCTTCCGATTGACAACTGAGAAATTGTCTCAGCACCCGATCAGACAAGCCTGTCTAGATACATTGCGCACCCAATCTTCGTTTTCTTGTCCTAATGGCTCTGAGCTTCAGTGGAATAGGATCTCGGCCGCCATGCACGACGCCGCAGCATCTGCTTGTGGTATCATCAATCGTTATCGCAGCACTCACTGGATGTCCGAGTTGCCGGAGAACCAATTGGAATCGAGAAGAAAACTCCCGGCTGTCTATGAGCACAATGTGACCAGACGGGCTATTAGGCGCGAATGAAAGCGGAACCTACGTGCTGACAAGGAAGCCTGGTGGACCAGTTGGGCTCAAGAAATGGAGGAGGCAGGAACAGTAGGCAATTACCGCAAGCTCTTCCAGCTGATCCGAACCACTGGGCCCAGGAAACCAGGCGTCAGTGAGACAATCATAGACAGGTCGGGTGCAATGATAGATAATAAGGGAGCGACGTATGGCTCGTTGCGCTGAACACTTTCAAGATCAATTCGGTCGGTTGCCTGCTCCCGGGCCCATTTTCCTACCCAGGTGATGCAGAACGAGCCATGAAAGGTTAGTTTAGAAGTTTCATCGGAGGCTGTGGTCCGAAACGAGATCACAGCCCTCAGTCATTTTCGTGCGGCTGGCCCGGATTCCCTCCCATCTGCACTAATTAAGGATGGAGGTAAGGTCCTCTGCAACGCACTGATCACCCTATTCCAACATATCTGGAAGGAAGAGAATGTCCCGGCTAACTGGATTGAATCAGTTATAGTGGTAATATACGAGAAGGGCAGTCGTACAGATTGTGCTAACCAAAGGGGTCTTAGGCTAACGTTAGTTGTGACAAAATTACTGGCTTCGATTCTCGTTCGTCACCTCACAGAGAAACAGGAATCCGCGAGTAAGGAAGAGCAGGCCGGTTTCAGAATAGAACGTGGTTATATAGACCATATATTCACTCCGCGGCAGCTGTTAGAGCAGCGTCACACATACCACAGACCAACAATAGCTGAGTTCCTCGACTTAAAGAGTGCATCAGATTAAGTAGATTGATGCATTCTGTTCGAAATAATTGCGCATAAAGGTGTTCCCATGAAATATGTGGACATCTTACGTGCTCTATACTCGAACACTACAGGTCGCATCTGGGTCTACAGTGATCTGTCGTATACCTTTTCGACAACAAGTGGCGCTCGTAAGGGTTATCCGACTTTCCCGTTTTCGTTCAATTTCGTCATGGACTCTATCATGTTCTCTTACGGAATGTCACGATGTAGGCGTTGAGGTCCTGCCTGGTGAAAGGCTAGTTGATCTTGATTATGTCGACGATATCGTACTGCTTTTGACGATGTTGGGGCAGCCCAATCAACCCTGAATAGCTTGTCGAAAGTGGTCCCATTATTTGGTATGCGTTGTGCACCTTCAAAGTGCAGTGTTGCTGTAGGACAACTAACCACTTGATGACCCCTAGACCCTTGATAACGAGGAACTCGAGGTAGTTGATCAATTCACTTATCTTGGCAGCTGCATCATCAACGATGGATGCGTAGAGAGTGAAGTCAGTTCATGCATTGCAAAATCCAGAATTGCCTTCTTGAACCTGCGGCATCTTTGGCGACAGAAGGGAGCTTCTCTCCGTCTGAAAGACTGTGTTTAGAAGGCCACGGTGAGGGCCAACCTATACTATTGTGGTTAGACGACCCCTTCGTTCTGAAGATCTGAGGCGCCTTTGATCATTGTTGTCTGCGGAGCATTTCTGGCGTTGGGTGGCACCAGCGTGTCAGAAAGAATGATGGGCGTAGGGGATTACTAGGCAGTGATAATCAAGCTAGTTCCTTAGAACAACGGATAGCACTGAATAAGTTGCATTGCCTTGGGCACGTACTACGTATACCTGGTCACCGCTTACCTAAGAGGGCCTTGTTTAGTCTGCCAGATGTAGGGTGCTGCAAAGCTCGAGGTGAACAAAAATTGACTTGGTAGCGGAAAATGAAGTCACTGTCGACCAAATTCGGTGCTGTCGGTCTGTCTAGTTTTCCGGACTGTAGTCCACGTGACCCGCCTTGTGTTTGGCCCGCGGTCGACACCAGCAGCGTTTCTGCTGTTGTCTCATAGTAGGATTGCCTATTCAAAGTGTGTTTGGTGCTGAGTTAGCTACGGGATAATGACTGATTACTAAGCGGGGCAGTGAAAGCCGCAAGGAAGCTGTCTCGTTGATACCGCCTTATCTTTGCACGATAACCAGTTGTTGTCCCTTGGATCGTAACATATAACATGGACCCACTGGTATCAGCACTACGCCAATACGTCGTACCGACGCTTCGATGCCACATAAAGACGAGAGTCGCCCAGTTCACTACCCAGACTACAGCCCCTGACGTCCGGGTTGCGAGGACTTGTACCCTCGGCCACAAGCCGGCAACATGGACCAAAAGTGATGTGCAAAGGGAAAAGAAGAACTAAGACCATAAAATTGCTGGATAAGATCATTGCCAGTTACAGAGTGTGGGATGAACGACAGGACGCCAAAAACCACCCGAACACGTCGGGACAAGACTCGCATTAAGTGATGCAACTGATCTTGGTGTCTCCATGCAGAAAGAGGAAGTGAGTCAGTGATTTTGTTCATACTGCCTAAAACCATTCAGCGGCTGACTTAAGCACATACACAACTAGGTGAAGTACCAGAAAACGGCACACATCGAGACGGGCAATCGGTAGCGAAACTGGCCACACAACAGCTTGGTACGTCCTGCACCTGGTCGATATTTTGATGTATATGCAGTTCAGTTCAGTTGAACAACTATGATCAGTATCGAAGTGCGGTGGATCCAGTTTCCACGTGTCACACCGTAAGAGTAAGAATAAATAACAACGGTAGTATCGTGGGTTTGGGTGAGAATAGAATGCAGGGAAAACAGAAGCAAGAAGGAAAAGCGTTAGTCTAATCAGAACGAAATGAAAATTAACAACCACATGAAAGAAACCGAATGCAGGAACCACACTGACTTTCTGGCTGCACCACGTCTGACACGGTCTCCAACCAGTGATGTGGAACATGCCGAGGCCCAGAACACTAAGAAAACGGCACGCAACAGTTTGTCATCTACGCAAAATGACTGAGGCTTGAAAAAGCCACATCGATTTCACCGATGAGTGTAGTGAACCTACGGTAAATTGCCCGTCAAAAGCGGTAAATTTACACAGAAGTGCCGTGGATAGTCGACAGGTATCAGCGCTAAGGGTATCAAGAGTTAGTGGTATCACGGAAGCTTCCACTATGTGGTGCGGCAAAACGGATGGCGGAGCATGCCGCGTTTCAACTGGGACTAAACCGATAATTCTAACGGTAAGCTTAGACAAATTGGGGTCGACCAACATATAAGCACGAAGCAAAACGTGTATAAACAAACCTGTTTGCGGAACTCCGTAATTTTTCCTTCCAGAACGTGATGATGTTTGATGAGTTTGCGTGCTTGTGCAAAAAATGCCGAGGGTGTGGAGATGTGAATACCGAGCTGCAGTAAGAAACGGGCAGGGGTAACAGTAGAGCACATTAGGATAGTGACGACAAACCGTGGAAATATGTTCGGCAGCAAACACGGGACACGGGAATCCCACTATTAATGTGCGCAGTGAAAGTGCATGTGCAAGCGAGAAGGAAAGTCCAAACGGACATACCCGTCGAGTGAACCTCTTTAGCAAATCAGTCCCCTCCGCATGCAGTTTGCTGATCGATTGTTCCGTCAAACGAATTCGTTCCATCAAATGGGTGTGTCTAGCCTGTTCTTCGGTCAACTGCTGCCTCACATGACATTCGTAAGCGGGTGTGCGCATAAGCGTAAAGTATTCCATGAACGCACGCTTTGAAAGCTCTGGAAATGAAAAAATCATTGCACGTGGTAAGGTAAAATTCGAAGGGTAACAAACTATGATGAAGAAGGGAAGCAGAAAAAATAGTGAGGGCATGATAGATAAGGCTAGTGTCGTACCTTAATAAAACCAAAACAATCAAGCTACCTAGGAACGCGATTACAGGATGCCGTTATACGGGTAGTGTGTTCAGGCTGACTCAGCAAACAGCAGTAACAATCGATGTCCTCTCTCGAGGGGGTAAACACGCCTCGCGTGAACCAGTTCGCATGACCTGAATATTAGACTACAAAGCACTGTACGTGTGTGCTTGCGTGTACTCGTGTGACTACTACCGGTCACAGTATATTGGTCTCGTGGCCAAGTGCGCACAGCTGAATCACGGCCCCACGATCAGTTGTAACGGTAACTGGGCAAAGATCGATCGGAGAGGATGGGCAAAATGGTTAGACACAATGACTATAGGGAATACAGAGGAAGGCGAGACAGCGCAATTAGCTCGCATGTCCGGTTTCGCAAAAGGACTTTGACGGGAAACATCATTTTGAACGTATACAAATATTTGTTGATTTCACCAAAGCATTTGACACGGTGAACCACGAGGCATTGCGACTGGTGTTGGGTAAGTTTGGTTAGTTGAGTAAGTTTGTAAGTTTAATTGAATGTCTGCATAGTGGTTTGCGAGCGAGGGTGCAGCTGAGTGGAGAGACCTCGGATGACTTCGCAGTTGTCTCTGGTGTGAAGCAAGGCTGTGTCTTAGCTCCTGCCCTGTTTAATAGATTACTTCATGTAATGATGTTTCGTGCTTACGGTGTTCGTGTGGAGCACAGCATTGATGGTGGGTTGCTGAACATCGGTCGTTTCGGTGCGAGAACTCTAGTCTGTGAGACAACTATCTGTAGATTGCTGTTTGCTGACGACTGTGCGTTGTTTGCACACAGCGCGGATGAGTAGCAGCATATGACTAGTGCTCTGGCTTTGACAGCGGCCCAACTCGGGCACACCAACAACACAAGTAACACTGTCTATCTCTTTTTGACTTCAACGGAAGTGAAATCGTCAAGATTGCCACGAATCAGTATTGGTGCTGAAGTATTGGAAACCACCTCCCGCTGCTGTTACCTTGAGAGTGTGGTTTCGACTGACCAGCAAATACACAGTGAGCTTCGTATCCGCGTCTAGAAGGCAGCGGCGTCATTCGAAAGCTTGTATACCGAGTGTGGAACAACCATCAGCTTACCATCGACACGAAGCTGATGGCATACAAATCCATGGTGTTGTGCGTTCTTCTATACGGAAGCGAAAAGAGGACGATGTACGGGCGGGATGTGCGATATCTCGAGCGGTTCTATCACAGTGTCTGCGACGGATTCTGCACATCGGTTGGTGCGATAGAGCTGTGGACAAGGAAGTGTTGCGTCGAAGTGGAATATATGCAGTGGACTACATACTTTTGCTGAGACACCTGAGGTGGCTCAGTCATGTGTGGCGTATGGATTCGACGCGGATACCGAAGCAGCTATTATGTGGTCAGCAGAGTTTGGGGAAGCGGCATGTGGGGAAACCGAAGTTTCGTTACCAGAACATGATAAAAGTGAGCCTCTCACGCTCTAGTGTTGATTGCAGGTCATGGGAATCGAAGGCGGTTGATGGGCGTGCATGGCGCGATCTGATTACGAAAGCAGTTGCTGAGGTGCATGAGAAAGCCCTCGTGCATGCCGAGAAGAAGCGGCAATTGCGGAAGCGACAGGCGGCGACAGGTTGTACTCCATCGACATCGAGTGCATGGTGCTGTAGCACATGCGGTCGCGAGTGCCTGAGTCAGGCAGGCCTAGTGATCCATGAGAGAGGCCACTCAGGGCCAATACCGAAACGACGACGGATACTGCAGAGAATGTAGGCAGAAGCGGCGCAGCGCTGGTGGGTACGCTGCATTCTATTTATTAACCGCCCGCTTGCATGCTGAGTTTCTTTACTTCATGTGGTGGATTTGCAATCGTGTATCAACGCATATCTTTTGGCTCATCGTAACTTTCACCTGAATTTGCTTACGTTACTTAACCTAATTGTGGTTAAGTTGGCTCACATTCTCGCGTTTGCGGCATTGTCCAAATATACTTTTTGACAGCTTGCACTTATCGCGGATTTGTTGATACCCTATTTAGTACATGTGCTCATTTAGCGTAGATCTGTGTCAGCATTTCCGTATGTTTTATTTGACATATATTATTTGTTATTCC